TCGGGTTTGGCAGTTCAAATAAAACCTTTATTTTTTTCATACTTAGGGATAATGTGGAGATGAAAATGGAAAATGCTCTGAGAAGCGATTTCATTCACATTACTAATAATATTAAACCCTTGGGGGAAAGTTGGCAAGTCGGAATTTTTTAATTTATTAATAATTTTTTTCATTAGAGGCAACAAGCATTTTCAACTTTCCTCATCAATTTCAGCAATATTCGGAAAATGTTTTTTGGTAATTAACAATACATGACCATCGCTGGCAGGATAAGCATCCAAAATGGCTAAAATTCCTTCATTTTCGGCGATAATATGGGCTGCCGTTTCTTTTTTAACAATTTTACAAAATAGACATTCCATAATTTATTATTAGCAATAATTATTTCAGAAGCACTTAGATTCGATTTTAAAGTTGTAATTTCTGAGTTATTCGGTTTAAAATCTTTATTAATCCAAACAATTTGGGAAAATGCTGGATTAACTTATTTTATGTATTTTAGTGCTTATTTATAATAGTTTGTTTTGACAGAATTATTTAGGGATTGTATTTCCTACCGGAATAAAATATTTTGCTGAAAGCCAAAAACAAACGTGGATATTTTGCCGGAGGTTAAAAATACTAAAATAAAGATTAATGAATATAAACAGAAGTTTTTTAGAAAAATTACTTAATAATCAGTCATTCCCAACCATCTAATTCAACAATAGTTTCTCATTTCCTTCACCACACTTTTTATCTATATTATAATTTTATGTCTCAATATAGATGTTGTATTGCCATCGAATTATTTAATTTAAGAATAAAACAATCAAAGATTATTTAATTTCAATTTCAATAGGTGGTCGTAATTTAGTAGCATTCAGTTTGTCATTACGATAATCTTCATGCTTCTTTACAATAAAATCATACTCATTCTGATTTTTCTCTTTGAGTCATTTAAAACATCCTTGCGGACACTTATCACAAAGAAGTTTAATCAGTCTGCTTTTAGTTATTTTTAAGTTTATATGACGGTGTATTCTGACAAAAGAAGGGTCAATTTTTAAACAATCAGGTAATTTACGAATTTCATATTGGGAAATAAATTGCTTTTCATCTTCTTTAATTTCCTCTTCATTTTGGGAAGTAATGATTAATAAGCGAAGAAGGAAAGAAAACTCTTCCTCCTCTATTTTGGTTATCACGCAAGGTCTCCCTCTTTTTATGATATCTCATTTATCCTTATAATCAAGATCTATGAAAATAATTTGATTTAATTTTGGCGGTTTTTTGTCTTTACTCATCAATTTATTAAAGTTCTATTTTCTCGGCTACATGTAAAGCAAAATTTTGGTAATATTTAATCATCGATGGGTTTTGGGGCATTTCTTTGTTGCCTCTGATATTTTCCCTGTCTCAAATGGTAAATCAAGCCGGATCCTCGTGAGCAAAATCTTCCAGTTGTTGGTCAGTGTAGGTCTTAAAGTAATTAAAAATCTTGGTCAAAAAGGTTTTTAAGTAGGAATTTAAGCCCTTAACAGCAGTATGATTTTGAGGGTTAACTAAAAAGTGAAAGCGACGATAAACATCATAAACTATTCCTCCGTGTTCAAAGGCTCACATTTTTTCCGGAAATAAATATTTTCCTTCTTTGGCCACATAAAGCATCTGGGTAATTTGGAGTAGTTTATTAAGACGGAGATTGCCAGCCATTGGCATAGATATTCCCTCCACTCCTATCATTTTGTCTTTAACAAAATATTCCCTCTTAGGATCCAAAGAAAGAAAAAATTTTGCTATTTCCAGGGCTGGAACTTGGTTATCTTTCATAATATTCATAATTTTGTATAATTATATCTTTATCTATTATATTTCAGTGGGGGTAGAGTAGAATAGTGAATGATGGCAGAACTTTTACCACTATGAACAAACGTCAAACACCATCTACAACAAAACTGCCCTCACTCAAGCATTAATCCCCTTTAATAAATTTTTGTATATAATTATTTTTTATCTAAATACAGCATCTATATAGAGGCTAAAAATATAATATATATGACATGGCAAAGAAAATATTCCTTAAAAG